TTTCACCGACTAAGTTGTTTCAGTCAGACAAATCAAGTCATTGGATTTGAAATCATTCATGCTGACGATCTTCTCAGAGACACTCGGACAACCTGAAAAGCTCTTCCTTAAAATAACATCGAGACATGAGGTGAGGAGGTGAAAGGTGAACGGAAACTACACTGGGATGGAGAGAGATGGGTGGCGGGGAGGACAAACAGTGTGTTCAGATCTCTGTGATCTGATTGGAGCCTTTTTCCACAGCCAAAACAAATAATCCCTTTCCTTATTGCCATGTATGTGGAGGACTCCCTGACAACCCAGCAGTAAACACAGACCATCTCTAAGGATGTCTTCATTGTGTAGCTGGGGCTGGGCCTGCACGGACACTGAAGTTTCACTTCGTTGGTTTCAGTGTAGGACATGCACACACCCGTTTTATGAATCATTTGTATTGTATTGACAGTGTTGTGAGATGTATCACAAAACACAAAAGTGTAAGGTGTCAGTTTTCATTTGAATATTTTGACATAAATATTCCAAGGGAACGAACTACAAATGTCTTGTTGCAGTTAAGTACAAACTTGCCAGTGATTGCTATCAAGAATTAACTCAGCAAGCAAAATACAAGATTTTCCTCACGGCAAAGGGCATCTGGAGTCACTCTTGTTTTCATGAAATCTACTCAAGCATCCATATTCCATCTATCGGAGCTGACAGGAATACAGATGAGAGTTGTCCTTTTGGTTAGACAATCGGATATCTGTGCTTTGGTGGTTAACCACAGGATATCCTGGATTTTGTTATTTCAAAATTGAATTTATGATGCTGCTGCTTACCTCAAGCCAAGCAAAGCCAGGACCTTTTCTCACCCTGCGAGTGAACAGCCTCGATGGCAGCAGGGAGGGACTGATTGTCTTTGGCGTGCACATGACGGGTGTAGCTGGGAATTATGTGCTGCATGTGCAGTACAGTAGGTGACTGGGTGTTTCTCCCACTTTCCACTCATCTTGACTTCACTATCTTTGTCAAACATCTATGTCCACACACCCACAGGTCAGACACAGTTTCATCTTTTTCTGATGGGACACACCTTTGGTTCAACTGTGTTATGTCTGAGCTCTACATTACAAAAATGAGCGAGGGCAAAAGCCCAATAGGTTACCTACATATCATTTGGGTCAACACAGTTTGATTATTTAGAATTTTGAGAGAAGCCAAAGCAGAATATCAACTGTGTTAGGTCGTCCAACTCAAACTGCTTCCATTTTTTCTGTATGTCAAGTAATTTACAATATTGAGAAGGGTAGTATTATCCCATCAGAAAAGCCCTGCACCGCTGTAGTCCTCAATTATTTTCTATCATCAATAAGCCTGGCTATCATTTTCTTGAATTACTGAATGATTTTTTGTTCTGTACAGTGGAGAAATCTAATAATAAATACCCATCATTAGTCCTGGAAGCTTGATATTATCATTCATTAAAGTCTGAACAAAAAACAAAATATGTTTCGTTTAGCCACTGACTTAATATACCAACTTACCTTCAAAGTTCTTGCCAATTAATTTCACTTTTGTTCAGAAAAGGCAGTTTGGTCTCTGGGTACCTCGGGAAACATTGAAATTGACAGTATCGTACAGGTCAACAGGGTATGTGTCCTAATAATAAGCTGTTGTCTCTAAGTGTTCAAAAAGTGTTCAACAATCTGAAATGCAGATTTATTTGTCCTGTTGTTTTTCATTTTATAAATACATGTACATCTGTTCACTTTAAAGGCAAAAATCTGCACCTTAATTCATCATGTTGTAGGATGCCTGAATGCAAGAACTTCAATAAGGACATGACAGATTGCTCCAGGATGAGGGGTTCTTCACCTGTATTGCTCCATAGACTCTCCAAATCCTGGGATCACCTCCAGACTGGTGAATCATTTTTCCTATACTGTATGTTATGGAAGGTTTCCATAGAGGTCTGGCTAAACACAAACAAATGCTGCCGGAATTCACTCTGTTGTGGGTTTTCATGCTCACTTCTTTGTCCACTGGTCACAATTAAGCAAGACATCAAGCCCACGTTTCCCCTACCACCTCGTTCACATCGCTTTTTAAACCCTTAGTTCATCTTTGTACATCACTTGTGAGGTCTGTGAGAGCAGGTTAAAGGCTTTTGATGTAGTCATCTTACAACAACTTTATCACTTCCTCCCCACTGACTAAACTGAAACGGCATGCCCACATGAAAAAAAAGAGGAGGTGGGGGGGGAAGAAGCTGTCATGTTCACAGCCAGCTTGAAAGGCTGCTTTTCAGGTGTAGAATTACTGTTGTTGCCAGCGTTGATGATCCAGCCCTGATGACGTCACTGACTTTACAGGAAAGCACACATCACATTGCAGCTTTTATTCTTCCAGGGAAAAACTTTTGCCCTCACTGATGTAAATGCTGCTTGATGCAGTGTTTTAAAGCACAGAGATCATCTCAGCTTTGCATCAAATGGATAATTGTGTTCCATTATACTGGCTGGGGAGATTAAGCGTTTGGCAGAGAGACCGCCTAAATGTGTTTGTTCAAATCATCATGTCGTACCATTTTCGATGAGTCACCTTTGACGTTTTCAGAGAAAGGAATGGTGAAGTTCAGCTCCACACAAATATAACATCTCTCAACAGACTAAGAGGCCACGGTAAAATTATGTTTTCAGTTAAATGCTATATCCCAATAACAATATTGATGTTTAGCAGGTGTAATATCCGTTATCCATTGACTGTATATAAGGATGGATGAACCTGCCGTGCAGTCACCCACTGGTTTCTTGGATAGCAATTTCGAAGCTCAGTGTGGTGGCTCCAGCAGTGCCTGACTTGATCTAACCCCTCGCTAATCCAAAAAATTAAAAAATAAGCACAAAGGTGGAGCAACAATGGAGCTGAGGAGGACCACTGAATGACCCACCTGCCCCTCAAACCCACTTGACCTTTAATTATGCCTAACTTTAAGCCTCAATACAATTTAAATGGGTGTGTTACATACAAATTCACAGCATGCACCGTTTCCTAAAAGGACAAAATTAGCTATAGAAACTAAACTCCTTTTTGCACCAGGCTGTAAGCTTGTTTATATCTGCTACAAAGGTGGGCAGATTAACATGGTGGTCTATAGGGATTGACTCACTTTTGCAGGTGGCCTTAAGTGGCTATTTGAGGAACTGCAATTGTGGCACTTCGGCTTAATTTTTTAGTCCTGGTGGGTGCCGTCAGCAACTCTCTTAGTTTAGTATGTTAGCTTGCTAGCAATTGCTCATTTCTCCTACACACATAGAGCAAATGAAGCAGATGAGAATGTTTGCAGGTTGAGCTGGATAAACGCTTAAGGCAAATTCCAACAGAAATTTCAATCAAAACCACAAATGTGCTGCTGGAGCGAGAGGAAAAGTCAGAGGATCAACAAAGTCATTAGGATACGCTGTCAAGGGATCATGAATTTCTGTACAAAATTTCATGGTCTTCCATCCTGTTTTTGTGCTCAGGGTTCAAATGCTGTCCTTCAGTGCAAAATACTCGCACTGTGGTGACCTCGAGCGCAGCCGGCTTATTGACGTGTCCCCATTTCACTCACGTTTGGGGGAAAGATGGCCTCTTTATAATAAATGCAATAGAACGTTAAAAGGCATTACTGTGAAATATGCTTTGACAAGGTTAATGAAAAAAGGAAACGCGCCAGCAA